TGCGTGATTCGCGTAATTATGCCGAATATTAACGCTGATTTAATTTCGGCCTCGTTTTCGCACGCCGGCGGGTGTTTACTCTTGCGCGAGACGGCGCGCGTTCTTGCGACGCTTTTTCTCGCGGTGATTCCGGTATTCCGAGAATTCTTCGGTTCTCAGAATCGACGGGTATTTTCGCCGTATTATTTATTTCGCGGTGACGCGATTTAAAGTCCGCATATAATTCTCCTATGCTTTAATTCGGCGGCGTTTACGCGTTTATCTCGGGATGTCGAGATGCGCTCGCGTGGTTGCATACAATGCGTGCGGCGATGGTCGGCGCGTGCAATCCCGGATTTTGCGAAGGATGGATTGCGCGATGCAGCTGGATCAAGAGCTCTCGATCCGGGGCGGCTCAGAGCTCCACCTTCCGTGACAGTTCAGCTGCGGATGTGCGCAGCTGAAGGCGGTTTGCACTTGTGCTTTGGAATCGAGATCACTCGTCTGAGACGGAGCTCGCTCCACCTTTCGTCCTTAGCTACTTCGTGCGTTTTCGAGAGGATTTTCTGGATTGCTCTGAAGCGTACTGCTAAGAGCGGATCGGAAAAATGTGTCTTAAGCCAAAATGTGGCCCTTTTATACGGGCTAATTGTCCGCGTCGGCGCGCGACGGTATAACCCCTTCCGAACGGGTTTTCGGGAAACGGTACGGTCGGGCCCGTTCGGAGGGATTCGGGTAGGAGCCGAACGTGGGCTTTCGCCGGTCGGCGGTTCGGGCCACATCGGCTTTGTTCGGCGGTGTTCGGTCGAATTTCAATCCGAACGGTTTTCGAAAACTTAAAAAAGGTGGGCGCACCGCACCCCTGCCTCTGCCCGGCGGGTGTTCTGCCGGGCGGCAGCTTCCGGCGGATGACATGCCGGGAATCGTAACGGTGCACCGGGATGCATCGTTACATCACCCCCCTTCTAAAATTAATGCCCGAATTGGGGGCATTCGGTCGGTCGGCTCATCGGGCATGATGGTTTCTCGCGCGGCTATTCTGCGGATTTTCCTGCCACTCCTTGTTATTGCGGCAGTCGGCGACAGTAACGGACTCTTTCGTCCCTCGTGAACCAAACGATCCATCGTCCGGTGGCGGTTCGCGGTTTGTATCTCCGCGATACATAGACCGCGAAGTGTGGAACCTCCACGATAACGCTGGGCTCCACCTCAACGGGAATCGGTGGCGGTGTCTGCGGCCCCATCGGTCGCAGCAGAGTCGGTCGTGCGGTGTCGGCGGCCTCAGGTTTTAATGGCCGGGGTGGCCGTTCGTAAGGGCGTGGTGCCCTTGCCCTTGGTAGTGGTGGCGGAGGAGCCAGGACAGCCTCCTGTTTCCGACGATTAGTGTGGTCGGACCGCTGTATGACGGTCCCGACCTTCGGTGGCCGCGCTGGTGTTGGCGTGGCGATGTCCGGCGGTGTCGGCCCCGTTGCCTGGACCGGGTCGACGGTGCCTGCCTCCCGAAGCAGGGCTTCAATGTCTTCTAGGATCGCTCGATTGCTTGCTTCCATTTCGCTCGATGGTTCGCTCGAAAGTGATCCCTTTATCGTCGCTATCTCTGGCTCGAGATCGGTGTCATCCTCGGGGGGGAACAAAATTGTTATTGTTTTTATTGACATGCGCGGCCTTCAGATCCTGTATGTGTACATGTCTTATCCATTTCCCCCGCTTGCTTCGTAGATCCACTATAACTGGTGATATTATTCGACGGATCTCGTATGGCCCGGTGAATTTAGGCGCCAGTTTGGCGTTGTACGCTTCGCTTTTCTTGGACAGAGGGTGGTCGCGCTTCCACTCCCAATCTCCGATGTTCGGCTTCCATGCTCGGCGACGGAGATCATAATGTAATTTTTGGCGCTGAAACGCCTGAGCGAGCTTTACTAGCTCATAGGTCTCCACGAGCTTCTGGCGGAGGTTATCCGGGGCGTTGTGCTCCGTGGTCGGCTCGTCGGTGTCCTCTGGTCCTCGTAGCTCGCGCCCGTGATTTAGAAAGGCGGGCGTGTATCCGATGGCGTCGTGCAGGGCCGTATTAAAGGCGAACTGGAACGCCGGAATGTGTTCGTCCCAGGCCCGGTGGTCCTTTTCCACATACTGGGTGACCATGGTTTTAATGGTCCGGTTGGTTCTTTCCACCGGATTGCAGTGTGGAGAGTAAGCCGGAGCGGTAACGTGGCGGATGTTCCATGCTCGTAGGCGTTCCTCCATTTTCTTGGACCGTAATTGGGTGCCGTTTCCCGATAGCACGGAGTTCGGTCGTCCGTGGCGCAAAATTATGCGCTCGGTGAGCGCTTTGGTGACGGCGCTCGCGGTCGCTTGGCGCAGGAGCACCAGCTCTACCCATTTCGTGAAGCGATCCTGCATCACGAAGAGCCACGTATGCCCTTGATGGGAGCGTGGCAGTGGTCCAACCAGGTCGAGAGTTACTTGTTTCCACGGTTGGCTGACGTAGGTTGCGTGCAGTGTTCTTGCCGGTCGCTGCTGTGCGATCTTGTGCGCTTGGCAATTTTTGCATGTTCGCACATAGTTCGCGATGTCGCGAAACATCCCCGGCCAATAATAAAATTCGGCAATCCGGGCGATCGCCTTGGCGGTGAGGGCGTCGTGATATCGGCATAGGATGTCGTTTCTGGCCTCCTTGGATACGCAGAGCTTCCATTGTTCTTCTGCGGCGGTGTCTTTGAAGTTGAGGCTGTGGTAGAGGAGGCGGTACATTTTACCGTCCTCTATACGGTAGTCGGTGTGTGCAGTGGGGTCTTGCTGCACCCCTTCGAACTTTCGGCGGTACCAGGCGCATCCCCGGTCTTTCGCGGCGCAAGTTACCGGGTGACGCGATAGCGCGTCTGCGACGCGATTAAGTACCCCGCGGCGATACTTTACGTCAAAGTCATACTGCTGGAGCTCGAATACCCAGCGTCCGAGGCGTCCGGTCGGAGACTCCATTTTTTGTAGCCACCGCAGGGCCTGGTGATCTGTTACGACGGTGAAGGCGTATCCTTCCAAGTAGCTCTTCATTCGCCGAATGCCCCATACGATAGCTAAGCATTCGAGCTCCGTGGCGCTATAGTTGCGCTCGGCCGCGTTTAGGGTACGGCTCGCATAGGCGATCACGCGTTCGCCCTCCTCGAAGTTTTGCGTCAACACCGCCTCGAGTCCGGTCGTGCTAGCGTCGGTCTGGAGGAAAAAACGGCGCGTGAAATCGGGGCAAGCTAAAACCGGCGCGGAATTCAAAGCGCGTTTAAGTTGAGCGAACGCGATGATCTCCCCTTCGCCCCATCTCCATCGGGCGTTTTTTTTTGTTAATTGCGTAAGTGGGGCCGCGATCGCGGAAAAGGCTGGGACAAAACGACGGTACCACGACGCCATCCCCACAAACTGTCGTATTTGTTTGACTGACTGTGGTTCTGGCCAGTTGGCCACAGCTTGAATTTTCCCGGGGTCGGCCCGAATTCCCTCCCGGTCAATCACGTGCCCCAGGTACGTCAAGCGGTCAACGCAGATTCGGCATTTCTCCGGGTTCAGACGGAGGCGCGCGTCACGAAGGCGGCGGAAAGTCTTCTTCAGCAGCTCGAGATGGTGGTCGAACATCCGGTTAATGACGATTATATCCTCGAGATAGACGAACACGTGCGGCTCTAATTCGGGCCCGAAAACCATGTCCAGTAACCGCTAGAACATGGCCGGGGCGGAGTGCAACCCGAATGGCATGACTCGGAACTGGTAAAGCCCCTTCCCTGGTATCGTAAACGCGGTGATCGGTCGACTGCTTGGACTCAAAGGTACCTGCCAATAACCGTTCTTCAGGTCTAAGGTCGACAGATACCGGGCCCCTCGTAATTTGTCGAGAGTCGCAGTGATCTGTGGCAGCGGATATGCGTCTTTATGAGTCATCTCGTTGACTCGGCGAAAGTCGATGCAAAAGCGTCATTGACGACCATCCTTTTTCTTGACAATTACGAGCTCCAAGGACTGTGCAAGGGCTCGATGACCCCCTGGGCGAGTATTTCCTCCACCTCGGCGTCGATAATCGCCTGCATCGCCGGGTTGCGCGGCCGGTATCTTTGTTTAATTGGCGTGTTATTAATGAGCCGAATGGTATGCTGGGCCCGATCGTTGGGTCCCTTCACGGTATCGAACTTCGCGAGTTCGTCTCGTAAGAATTCTTGGAGCCGATCATTCTCTTCGGCGGTCCTGCCGGCCAGGCCTCCGATGGTGCAGCACCGCTAGTGCCATCGGTGCACACGCAGCGGCGGAGCCGGCGTGCTTATGCGTAGTTTTGCCTGCAGATCTATTCCCATGAGTATCTTACTCGAGAGGCCCGTCAATATCCCGAAGATGTGGGTCGTGGTTCGGCCGGCCGCTTCCACCAGCAGGTTCATTTTCCCCGTTCCGTGTCTCGATCGTCCGCCAATTGTATTTGGCTTTCCCCCAGAATACACGCGAAGCCAGCACGTTTCAACATTTCAGCGGTTCTCTCATTGATTAGCGAGATCTCGGACCCCCCATCAATCAGTGTGTCGAAAATAAATTCCCCGATGCGGATCGGGGTGTGTGGTCGCGGCTTGAAGGTTATTCGGGGCTGGGAGTCACGGCGGCGACCTTCTCCCCAGCCCCGTCGGCTTTTTCCGCCGGCGGGTGGCACTGCGCAGTGAGCACCCCGTCTCGCCCGCATTGCGAGCAGAACTTCTTCGCGGGGCGTCGGCATTGCCGGCGCGTGTGCCCGCGCTGCTTGCACCGCCAGCAGCACTCTGCTTTATTGTAGGCGGCCGCCACGGCGGGTTTTGTTTCGGCCTTTTCCCTCTTGAGTGCCTCCTGCCGTTCGCTTACCAGGTCCTCGTGTTCGCGAGCGCGTGCTTGTAGCTCGGAAATATCGCCGATGTTGCGACGCCGGATGTAAAATTTGTATTCCGGGTGCATGTGGTCGTATAAGTACTCGAGCTGCATACCGGGTGAAAATCCGCCGGCCCGACGCATAAGCGTCATCATCACCGTCGAGTATTGCGCGAATGTCTCGTTGGCCTTCTGGTGACGATTTTCGATTTCGCGGCGGAGGGAGGCGTCGTACCGATGGGGCAGAAACTGTAACCGAAACGCCGCCTCGAATCCCTGCCAAGAGGCCCAGCTGGTCCGGTGATTTCGGTATCACAAAAGGGCGTCCCCCCGCAATATCTCCGATAATCCGCGCAGTAGTTGATCCTCAATGATGTGGTAATTTTCGCTGAATTCGGCAAACCGTTACAATCAATTGGTGTAAAGAAAACACATAGTTGTTTCTAAGAAAAAATATGTAATTCGCAATTAACAATTCCATATTTTTTCTTAAAAACAACTGTATGTTTTCTTTACACCAATTGATTCCTCTCATTATTTTGTACATAAAAGTATGAAGGTAAGATAATCGAAAAATGAATGGTTTACTAGATATTTTATGGTTTATGTAAAATTAAGAATTTATTTCAAGCCTTATAACTCAAAAAATACTTAATAAAAAGGTACTTAATTATAGTGTTTTGGAAAGCTCTCGAGATAAGCTACAAGAATATGCAATGAAAAATAGGGAGTTCCATTTAAGAAATTGAAGGTAATCTTTATGTGACCTTCAAATGACTATCCAAGGTCAAATCTAAGGTCACCGTCGGATTGCCCGGGAAAAATCCTACAATTTTTGTCTAGGTCATTTTCCTCTGTGATGCGTATTTTTCAAATTATCCAGCCGTTCCGGAACTTTTTCCCATCACTGTATATATATATATATATATTCATGAAATTTGAATTTTTTATAAATAATTTAATAATTTATAAATTTTATTTAATTATAATTTTACAAAATTTAAATTTATTGAAACAAAAAAATATTTAAGATAATTACATTTTTAAAGTAAAAATGATTAATTTTAAATATCTTAAAGATCGCCAGTAAATAAATAAAAGAAGTAGTTGAAATCGATCAGCACTGGCAATATTTATTGAGTTAAAAAATCACAATCACGACGTTTCGACCATAGGTTTTGGTCCTTTTCGAGTGAACTACAAAAAGAAAAATTATTTCCAATAATACAACAAACAAGAAAAAATTAATGATACTAAATTACATAGATGTTCGAGTAAGATTTGAGCAACAAGTTATATATACATACAGTAATTAAATTAACAGTTCTATCGTGAGAATAAGAAATCACTTCGTCAAAATTATCATGTCACTGTCTCCATCAACACACAGAGAAAGACTAGACAACCTTTATTATTCTATCATAAATATTGTTTAAATTTTCAGTGTCCTTTTGTAAGTTAATCGTGTTATCAAACTTTTTTATATAAAACATTTCGGCAATTTCTCTCTTTCTCACGTGTTTCTCATTGTGTAAAATAGTCGGTGATGACCAATCGAAGTCATGGTTAAATTCCACTCTATGCTTGCTAATAACGGAAAAATTACTTTCGTGCACTTTAATGTTGTTGCGATGTTCTTTTACACGAGTGCTTACATGTCTTTTTGTTTGGCCGATATATGATACGTTACAATTTTTGCAATCTAGTTTGTAAACGACTTCCGTTCTGTTATTAATAGGCAACCTATCTTTACCACGTTTAATTAATGAGTTGAGTTTTTTAGGCACATTATAGACGACTTTAAAGCCTATTTTTTTAAAAAAGCGATCAACATCGTCACTCCAGCCGTCAACAAACGGCAAGGAAATGTACGAAGGCGTAGCCGCATTGTCAGATTCATTGTCAGTATTAGTTTTATCGCGATGTTTCAAAAAATACAATCGTTTTTGCACATGACGGTTGATGATTTGATTCGGAAAGCAATTGTTCGAAAGAGTCCGCCTAACAGCCTCGATATTCTTAGCATGAAACCGAGTGTCCGCTAACAAAATAGCGTGGTCAACCAGATTGTAAATGGTATTCAATTTGTATTTCAACGGATGTTTGGAGTGAAAATTAATATATCTGTTGGAGCAGGTGGGTTTCCTGTACCAATCAGTCAGAAGACGACCATTAGATCGGATAACCATCGTGTTCAAGAAACTGATAGAAGAGTCAACCTCGGTTTCATGTGTAAATGTTAGGCGTCGATGATAATTATTAATCGATTTAATCTCTTCAATCTTTGATCGTGAAACAATAGTGAAAATGTCATCCACGTATCTATAATAGATCGGAACATCGAAACTCAGCAGACTCAAACAATGCATTTCTAAATCATCCATCACGATATCTGCCAGGATAGGTGACAGGGGGGAACCCATAGGACTACCAAAAATCTGCTCGTAAAAATTTCCATTAAAAGAAAAACTGGTGGAGTCCAGAACCGTTTCAATCGCGTGTAAAAACTGGGCTAAATACAATTTCGTGTTAGGAGCAATGTGACTCCAACGTTTAGTGACAGCAGTTACAATCAAATCTTTAGGGATATTCGTAAACAATGCAGTGACGTTAAGAGAAATCATTACTTCGTCATCCCTGATAGTCTTGTCTTTCAAAAGATTAGCAAACGTCCAGCCATCCTTGATATGCGATTTAGGTTGCAAGATCGAAATCTTTAATATATCGTGAATGTATTGCGCGACGTTATATAACGGACTACCTATGGATGACACAATGATACGCAGTGGGTAATCCGACTTATGTATTTTCGGTAAACCGTAACAACGTGGTAAATTGCCATTAGTTGAGTTCAATTTTTTGTAAGTGGATTCATTGCTGTGTTAACTCATTACTGCGCCAAGATTTAACAAGAGTATTAATTTTATTTGTTAATTTTCTGATCGGGTCTGTTCACTTTTTTATAGGTGGATTGGTCGTTCAAAAGTGCCTCCATTTTCTCCACGTAATCAGTTTTATTCATGACAACTGTGACCTGACCCTTATCAGCCCTGGTGACAAACAAATCGTCATTTTATTACGTAGGAATTGTTTACAGAGAGAGAGACTGTCTAGAACATATTTGTCTATAAAGTTGACATGTCTCTTCGCGCGAAGGAATCTATGGAGGGAATTAGCGACAGAATTTCTGATCTTTGCGTTAGCAGTGTCAGGGATACGGTTATAATTGATCTCAAAGTTCTTCAAGGTCTCGAGAACAACGTTGATACGGTCTTTCGCGTGAGACTGAAGTAACGGTAATCCGAAATTGTCACCAAGACTCAGAAGCTCAAAAACCCGATCAGGGATATTCTTGTTACTAATGTTAATCAACCATCCAGTTTTGTCAATATTGTTAAAAGGATTCAAAGCGGTGTCATACCTAACAGTCAAATTCTTAAATTTTTTAATTAACTTAGATTTTATTTTACTGTTGATTTTTAAAAACTTACGTTCATTAAGATCAAAAAACTTTTTTAACAAATCACATGGTAGACGTTCGGTAAGCCGTCGTTCAATCCTTTCAATATTAGCGCGCAAATAATTTAGATTAAAATTAAGATCCTTGATTTCAAGATTCAACAATATACCACGGTATTTCATCGTGGTTTTTTCAAAAGTGCGATTAACACTCCTACTATGAAACGTGATATTAGTTTTTAAATTATTGATGTGTGACGGAATTAGATCGTATCTCCTGCATCGAAGTAAGAAAATGAGTTGTTGTTTGGCCGTGCAGATTTTCCTTTTAGTGTTAATCCATGACTTCAATAAGGTAGTGTAACTTTTGCCAAACCGATTAGTAATCATTTGAAAAAACATATCAGATTGCAAAGACTCCATGATTAGATCCAGGAGCGTAAATAAATTTAAATATCTTAAAGATCACCAGTAAATAAATAAAAGAAGTAGTTGAAATCGATCAGCACTGGCAATATTTATTGAGTTAAAAAATCACAATCACGACGTTTCGACCATAGGTTTTGGTCCTTTTCGAGTGAACTACAAAAAGAAAAATTATTTCCAATAATACAACAAACAAGAAAAAATTAATGATACTAAATTACATAGATGTTCGAGTAAGATTTGAGCAACAAGTGATATATACATACAGTAATTAAATTAACAGTTCTATCGTGAGAATAAGAAACCATAGATTCCTTCGCGCGAAGAGACATGTCAACTTTATAGACAAATATGTTCTAGACAGTCTCTCTCTCTGTAAACAATTCCTACGTAATAAAATGACGATTTGTTTGTCACCAGGGCTGATAAGGGTCAGGTCACAGTTGTCATGAATAAAACTGATTACGTGGAGAAAATGGAGGCACTTTTGAACGACCAATCCACCTATAAAAAAATGAACAGACCCGATCAGAAAATTAACAAATAAAATTAATACTCTTGTTAAATCTTGGCGCAGTAATGAGTTAATCAATGAATCCACTTACAAAAAATTGAACTCAACTAATGGCAATTTACCACGTTGTTACGGTTTACCGAAAATACATAAGTCGGATTACCCACTGCGTATCATTGTGTCATCCATAGGTAGTCCGTTATATAACGTCGCGCAATACATTCACGATATATTAAAGATTTCGATCTTGCAACCTAAATCGCATATCAAGGATGGCTGGACGTTTGCTAATCTTTTGAAAGACAAGACTATCAGGGATGACGAAGTAATGATTTCTCTTAACGTCACTGCATTGTTTACGAATATCCCTTGTTACGTCTCGAGTGTTAATTTAGACTAACTAAATTTTTACTTCTCTTGATCAGAGGTTTATCTCTCAATTTATTTTCTAGGGCAACCTGCTAAGCCGGCTTTACCCTGGGACGCCGAGAGATAGAGTCTAAGGTAACCTTCTGGGTAGGAGAGTCTTATATCGACAGTAAAATACTCTAGGTTATTCAGTCCTGACCAGATTTCTTTTATTTCTTCCAATTCATGATAGCGATACAATGTGATAAATATATATATATTTCTTTATGAATGTGTATGTTACAGGTTAATATATGTGTATACTGTTTCCTTTATTGTATAAAGAGAGAATGATGTTTAGATGTGGTTTATTGCGACCATTATATTATTTCATAATCGCTTTAGATATGATCTAGGAGAGCATTGATTCTGTTATTAAAATCTCCGTCGTCTTCCTCGGGGTCAGAAAAGAGGGGCTCTGGTGTTCGATTTAGTGTATCTCTTTCGAATTCGTTCCAGCAGTCCTCAAGGTCCTCCAGGGGTACAGGGGAGTAACTGGGGGGCGAGTAGTTAGACCATAGGGGGGAGCTCGGGGGAGAGTATGGCAAGGGCGACGCCGGGGGAGAATATGGGGATGGCACTTGGACGCCGACGTCAATCAGAGGCCTTATTTCAGCATTTCGTTCCCAGCCTCGGAGCAATGCTAGCGGTATCCTGCAATCTGCTTCCTCCAAGGAAATGTCACTTGAATGTCCGTCTAAGGATTCAGTGTCCTCCTCTTCTTCTATAATAACTCCTTCGGGGTTATTTTCTTGAGCTTCTTCTTGGGCAGGCTCAGGGCTCGGTTCGATGGTTAGAGGGGCGAACGAGAGATCAAAAGGAATTTCTTCCTGATTATTGTAAGATGTTAAAATGTTAACCGGGATTTCGTCACGATCAATGAATAATCGTCGAGCGACAGGAGTTCCCGTTATTCTGCTCCTTATAATTGCTCGTCGTCTAACGCGACCTTCTCTGATGGAGAATTCACGGTTCAAGATTCGATCTACTCGTCTAGCATTAACCATCTATAATTAATTTCATCGATTGTTAATAAACTCTTTTATGTGAATTTATGATTTATGAAAGGAAAGAATCTACTTACGATGATTAGTTTATTCCTTTATATAAAATCGTATGTTTATATATATATAAGATGAGGGGTCCTGTGAAGGGGATAATTGAAACAAACGTGTTAGTATGTTACCTTGTTAAAATATTTTTTATAGAGAATGCGTAGAGAGGAAGTGGTTGACAGATTTAATGTTCATGCTTGGATCAGAGCAGCATGATGTAATATTGCTATGGTTCACTGTGTAGTAATAGCGACTTTAATTTATTAATTTGTATTTCAAAATTCTAGGTTGAATCTAAGATTGTCAAAGGGAAAAGATATGGGAATACAGACAATGTCAATCAATGACATAAATCAAAGCGGCTGACTTATATTCTGTGAGTATAAATTATTCGTATTTTCAAAGTTATAAGCCAGTGCATAAAATCTATCGTTTCGACAGATCCTCTAAGAGCCAGTCTTTCATTCGAGGTCAAGTATCGATGTGCAAGACGTCCCGTCACAGCGGCTCAGAATCCATAAAGAAATTCTTCAAGAGAATCCCTTTATGAAAGCGGCAGAGGAGTAGTATGCTACCCAATGCACATCAAGTGACTGACCAGAACGGCGCTACGCTCTAAGTATTGAATACTGAGGACCGGTTGAAATTAAAATAATATTCAACTTGAAAGGAAACTAGATGTCTGTATGGAAAGTCAAGGTTCAAGGAAAAATAGTAAAGTAGTAAGTATATAAGTTGAGTTGACATGCGTAGTTGAAATATAGTTAGTTAATTAATTTATGATTTGTAATGGTACTTACCAGAGGATGGATTCTTCAACTCGTAATGACGATGTTCCTTCCCAAGATCGAAGGCACTCAGCAAGTCTCCTAGGGAGGTGTCAGGGTTGATGAGAGAATCGGCAGAAGACCCGGAGTATTATTTAATAATACTTTATTAATAGACTGGTTGGTTATACACTCTCGGTGTCGTAAGTCTCAACGTGACAAAGTTTTATTATAGCGGTACTGCTGGTAAGTCTTCTAGGTGTTTCTCCTTTCAGATTTTTCGATCAACTGCGCGGAGACTGAGGCTCTCGCTCCTAAGGTATTCTCGGATCCCTACTCCTTTCCAGGCGTTGGCGATGGTAGAAGAAGGCGGCGTAGGCGGCTCGACCGTTATTGCTGTCTCTCTTCCTCAAGCGCGTTGTGACGTAGTAGGCGCGCAGTACAGAGGGGGGAACGACGAAGCCGTCTATTATACATTGTGCATCGAATACATTGTTCTTTTATAAAGGTAAGTTTTATAATAATTTATTAGCAACCAGAATTTTTGTAATGCATTCATATATGTCTTTTGATTCAGTAAATTTCCCTCTATTGAATGAGACATGAATGGTTCTTGTACGACGTTCTATTTAGAAGTGAAGTTTTGTCATTAGCTAAATAACAATATAAAATTTAATTAATATTATTAATGATAAATTCTGGTATGTTAAATTATTATAATTACATTGTTAATGTTAGAAAATAATATTCGTATATATATAAATGTGGTGGTATAAAATTTAGTAAATTGACAGTTGTTAACAATAATAATTTTCGTGAAGACAATATTTTATAATGAAATAATAGTTAATATTGAACGCTCGGAATTATAATATTATTTTAATCTGTTGCAGCGGACGAAGAATACGGCGACCGGATGAAGGGGAGATAAGCTCTTAGTGCAGTTGCACTGAACGAAGGGGAGATAATGAAGTCACTTGGTAAAAACTTTCTTAATATGCTTTGTTCTTTTATTCTTTTAATAATTGCATGCAATATTCTTTCAATAGTCTTTTAAGTCCTTTGACTTCAAAATTTATTTCGCGTATGTATATATGTGTATATGTTCATACGTTTAAGAGCTTTAAAATATTTTATATTATTAATTAGCAATATTAATAAGTATTAAAGACTTAGTAATATTCTTATTGAGATTGAGAACAAATCATATGCATGCTATTATACTCTTGGGCTATTATTCTTAAGTCCTCTTGGTCTTAATACTTGGGCTCGAGACAATAGGGGAGATAACAAACATGAAGGGGAGATAAGTTGCGCTTCAACTTATTTGCGACGCTCTTATAAGCTTGAATAATTTATTCGCATATAATGCTATGACGTTGAATATTCACATATATATATGTATATATGCGTTATTTTTTATAATGTTTAAATCATTTCTTTTACTGTCAGTAAGTATATGAAATTATTATAATATTTTATTTTATTGTATCTTCATTTTTGCTCTATGTTCAAATTGTATCATTGTAATTTTTAAATTTGCATATGTATATGTGTTACAAAAGGTTATATATGTAACGCACAGTATGTTGGATTAATTTTATTTCACGCTTGAAAGACTTTTCACTTCGAAGTCTTCTTCGTATAAGACTCGCATGCCGAGGGGGAGATAAGTCGGCCGGCGCGAAAAACATTAGGGGAGATAAATCGCGCGTCCGCTCTGTCTTAACGCATTATAATTCTTGCATGCTATTTTATTCTCGTTATAAATTTTTAATGTACCATGAGCAGTTATATGCATATTGATTGTCTTTTCTACATAGGCTTTGTCCTGAAAATGGATTAAAATAATTTTAATACCTGAGAATAATTGTTCTTATATGCACATGTTCTCTCCTTTAATTTTTATTAATTAGTTGCATGTCTCTTATTAATTTATTACCATTCGTTGGCTGGTTTAATACTGTCTCTTCTAAAGTTATATTCTTATATTCATTCTCCTCATTTATAACTCTTATTCTCTAGGCCGTATACTAAGCTGGATGATGCAGCTACGCATGACGCTATGCACACCGGATGAAGGGGAGATAACGAATCATGCGAGGCTGACCTTGGTCGAGCATTATAAGGCTCTTATAATTTTTGCATGAGACAAAGAGTTAAGTATAAAATTTATTCATTTATTCTTATATTCATTTCTTATTGACTTTAATAATTTTGAAATATCATACAAGTCGTTTAGCATATAATTTCGTTATGAATTTATTAATATTAATTATTAGTTTTATTTAAGATCATTTATTATTCTTTTATTAAATTTATTTTCAGACAATTAGACGACCACGACTGCGAGTATAGGCCTTGGCGTTATTATTATGTAGTGCCTTTACTCTATTCTTTCGTAAGTATTCCCTTTCAGACAATTCGATCATGCATATTCTATATTGAAACTTGCGTAGGTACTTTTATGAAAATCATTTATGAATTTTATATTCGCGCTTTATATTCATCTTGTAGGATTTTGTATTTCAAGCTAATTTTATATTTGAAATTGTCAATGTAATAATCGTTCTTTAATCGGCTTAAACGATGCTTTTGCAGAGTTATTAAAATTATAATTACCTTGTCAGTATATACAGATTGAATAATTCATTCTTTTCAGATGGAGCTTTGCATGTACGTTGGAAGGAGACTATATATGCGTCAGTCTATACTATAGTACTTCTATAGAAAGCGATGATATATAAGTAAGCATAAGTATTTTCTCTTTTATTTATTTGGCTCAACAAAATGATTTACTGTCATCGGGAGTTATTTTATAATTATTCTAAATAAATAAATCAATATATTGGTATGCATCGATTTTTAATTCCATTATGTATTTCCTTGATATTTATAAATTTTGACAACAATGGTCAGGTTCATTTTGTTGTTCCTTTAGTTTGTG